TATATATATATATATATATATATATATATATATATATATATATATATATATATATATATATATACACACACATTCACAGTGTCAAAAATAAATTTCATCCACCTATCTTGTACAATTTGAAAAAATGCAATAACTTTTTATTTAGCAAAGATGTAAGCATGGTATAAACTAAATTATTACCTCATGTAGTCGGTTTTTCTAAGTACAAATTGTTTTTTTTGTAATTTCTCAAGTGATTGAGCCTCAATTTTTCATAATTACTAATTGTAGTTGACAATTCCTTGCATTATGTGTCCTAATTCTTCTACTAAATTCATCCCACAGATGTTTGATAGGATTTAAACCTGGAGGTTGTGGTGTGTATGAATTAGCTCAGCTATTTTAAATATAAGCCATTCCTTGACACGTTAAGCTGTATGTTTTGGATTGTTATCTGCTGAAAAATGAATGACCTAGTAAGTCCCAATTTGTGAGCACTTTCTACTAGATTTTTTTTCAGAATGTTTAAATACACTATTTGATCCATATTTCTATCAATGAAAAACAAGTTTCCTACCCCTGAAGCACTCATACACCCCCACACTAAAACACTTTCTCCACCATGCTTCACCATTTGACACAAGTTTTGTTTTTTAAATGCTTTATTTGGTTTTCTCCAAACGTTAACTCTTTCATCTGATGAAAACACATGAAATTTTGACTCATTGCTGAAAAGGACCGATTCCCAGAATGTCTGTGGTTTATTAATATGGAGCTTTGCAAAGTTTAGTCATTTGGGCTTTATCAACTTTGTTGATGTAAAGCTTTTTCAATGGTACTTTACCATTGTATCCAGCTCTTCTTTAGGTATTCTAACAGATTCAGGATCCACTTTTAAATTGTAATCATTTTGAAGCATTCCAGTGAGTTTTGGAGCACTTATTATAGGGTTCTGGATGACTGTTCTCAAAATAGCTTGTCAATGCAATACTTGAATTTTATTTAAACGTCCTGTACGTGGCTTATTAGAAATTTTTATGGTGGTTTGGTATTTCTTGATAATGGGCTGCACAGTTGCATGTGATTTCTTTACTATTTCTCCTATATTTCGCTGTGATTTTCCCTCCTTCTATAGTCTAACAATAAGCGATCTAATTCCCTCTTTAACTCTCATATAATACCATGCTTTGATTTTTTATTTAAAGTATATATATATATATATATATATATATATATATATATATATATATATATATATATATATATATATATATATATATATATATATAAATATATAAAATATTTGCGCAGCTCACATATATTGATTTTTTTGTTAAGATTTTTTAAAATTTGTCATAACTATAATGTAAATGTGCCTACTTTTAATGTTATAATAATTTCAATTTTTATTCAAGACACATATTGATAGCAGTTTTTTTATATAACTGAAATGTATACTTTGTTAAAATATTTATTTAAATAAAATAAAAAAAATGTTGAATTCTAATTACTATACTATACTATAGTATACTCTATAGTCTATAGAGTATATATAGTACTATAGTATACTCTATAGTCTATAGAGTATGCCGCATATATACTAACTATAGTCATATACTTTATTAGAAAGTTTTACAAACTATGTATGTATGTGACATACAGTTTAACTATGTATGTATGTGACATATATTTAATGTATATATATATACATTAAATATATGTATATATATATATATATATATACATATATATATATATATATATATATATATATATATATATATATATATATATATATATATATATATATATATATATATATACTTTAAATAAAAAATCAAAGCATGGTATTATATATATATATATATATATATATATATATATATATATATATATATATATATATATATATATATATATATATATATATATATATATATATATTTATATAAATATATAAATATATATATATATATATATATATATATATATATATATATATATATATATATATATATATATATATATATATATATACATTAAATTATATTCAAGTTAAAAAGGTAATATTAAACTTAATTAACTGACAATAAATATAAAAATTTTTTATGAATTTAATTCTCCAAGTTATACATTATTTTTACATTTATTATATTTTATTATACATTTTATTAAACATAAAACTACTTAACTTAATTTTTTAATAAACTTATTGAACTTAATAATGGGAATTTTACCTTCTCCCTTCAAACTAAAAGTTTGAGTAGCACCAATTTACAACTTATTTATTTGTAAGCACACACTAACAAAAATTTTTTATTAACAAATATTATTTATTAATAGAATAGAATAAAAATTTTTTAAGAACTTAGAATAAAGTTTCTGCCATCTTTTATACAACAAATTGACAAAACGAATAGACTATTTATTAAATAAAATGTTAACAGAGTATGCAGTTGTTACTGCATACTCTGTAAAAAATACTTCTTATTAAACTTTAGCAGTTTAATCATAGTACTTTAATCTATAGGCTATAGTTCTATAGTACAATAGGTTTTAGTTCTTTAGGCAGTAATATATTATTGCAAAAAACTATAGCCTTTAACTTTTAACTACTTTTATTAATAAGAAGTATTTCTTTAATTTATACATTTTAACAGAGTATGCAGGGCCGTCTATAATGTCATTTTGTATGTATGTGACATACTCTGTATGTCACATACATACATAGTTTGTAAAACTTTCTAATAAAGTATATGACTATAGTTAGTATATATGCGGCATACTCTATAGACTATAGAGTATACTATAGTACTATATATACTCTATAGACTATAGAGTATACTATAGTATAGTATAGTAATTAGAATTCAACATTTTTTTTATTTTATTTAAATAAATATTTTAACAAAGTATACATTTCAGTTATATAAAAAAAATGCTATCAATATGTGTCTTGAATAAAAAATGAAATTATTATAACATTAAAAGTAGACACATTTACATTATAGTTATGACAAATTTTAAAAAATCTTAACAAAAAAATCAATATATGTGAGCTGCGCAAATATTTTAAAATTACGCCAAAGTTAAGGTAACTCCTACTCAATGTAACTTTTTTTGCTTAAATCAAACTGAGCATTTTTCTAAGAAGTTTTGTGAATGTCATAATTTGAGAGTTATACGCAAGATAAATCGCAAGTTTTTTGCGCAAGTTTTGTGAATACGAAATAAGTAAGTTTGGCGTAAGTTCTAAACTTACGTCAAACTAACGTTTAAAAATGTTTTGCGAATCCGTACCCTGGTAAAGTGTGAATGCGCGCGCAAGTAGTTACTTGATTTTAAAGTACTGGTTTGTTTCGACTCGACGTCAATAAAACTGATCATTCAAAGTTGCTGAAGCGTTTGAAATGCGTTTAAATGCATTTGAAACTTTCTCAATCTGAGTTTTCATTATCTCAACCACCCGAAGACAGCGGTTAACATACGGAGCCTAAACGGCAGGGCCTAAACTTATACCTTTTTTTTTGAGAACTTTTCTTAACTTCATAATTTTCTGTCAAATCTACGGTAGAGATACGAAATTAGAGAATCGCGCATTTAAATAGTGATTGTCCATATTCTTTCCTTTTTTTTTTTAAATAATTTTCAATAATATTAATTAGTTTCTAAAAATAAGTTGGGTAGAGCGGGGTTAGTTAAGCATAGGGGCAAGTTGTGCAGTTAAAATATCTCAAAAACTACGCATCACATGACAAAACATTTAATGGATGAAAGTTAAGGAATTAGAATGTTAACACAATGCATAACAAAAGATTAGTGAAAGCTATTGAGTAAGATACACGGGCACTTTTTCTATTTTTGACCAAAAAAGTAAAAAATAAATTTTTTGCTATTTCTCTCCTGTATGCTTTTAAACTTTTTTATCTGCGATCACTTAAGTGTTGATAATTTACCAATTTATCGAACTTTTGATTAAATTTAACTGGTTTTTCTTAAGCCTTCCAGTTTTTTTTAAACCCTAACTATTGCGTCACCTTGTCTAGTAGGGGTAAGTTGAGCAGCTTTGAGAAAAATAAGTAAAACTGAACTTTCTAACACAAAGAAACAACTTTGATATGAAATAATAGAGCGGTGCATTATTTATATATATTTTTAGAGTTAGTAATTTTTAAATTGGGCTTCAAAGTTCAAGATAGTTCTATAAAAATATATTTTTATAATTAATGATAAAAATATTTTCTTACTATTTAATTTTTTTTTTTTTAATTACGTCATAAAAGTGTATAAATTAAAACGTTTATAAACTATACACACGCTGATAGTTATCCATATTCATTTATTTGTTGATTTTTCAACTTACAGCACATTGTTCAACTTACCCCGCTGGGGCAGGTTGAGCAGCTCTGCAAATTTTGGGCAAATTTTCTCAAAAAAATCAAAAACAATACTTTTCTTAACAAATTTTTAGCAGGATAAATTATTTATATTGCTCCCCCGATTAAAGCTGAGGCTTCTGCTTAATAATAATAATAAGCTGATAATAATAATAATAAGCTTAATAATAAGCTGAGGCTTAATTAAAGCTGAGGCTTCGGCTTTAATCAGCCATCTCGTCTTCCATGATGAAACTGATTTTTTGTCTTGCATCTAATTTCGCCCGTCTCGGTACTCTTTTTAGGGTTTCCACTTTTTTACCAATTTCCACCTTTTTTTTAGATTCAATCATACTCTCTGCCTCAAAATCGATTTCCAGGTCACACACCAGTTGAATTGGTCGTTCAATTACATAACCGTTCCCCAATCGTATTTTTAAGCCACGCGTAACTCCATCTTTACCTTTGATTTCGCTTTCAACTTGTCAAATATTTAGAATTTTCAATATTTTTCAAATATTGAAAAAGTTATGTAAATCTGATGCACCGTTCATGAGATTTGTTAGATTTAGTAAAAATTGCTCAACTAGCCCCGCTCTACCCTATTTTATGTTTTTTTATCTATAACTTTATATTTTATTGAAGGTACTTTTGGTTCATCGAAAGTTTAAAAGACGAGAATTGGTGCGTCACTGTGGAAACTGCGGTGCAGGAGAAGGAATAAAGCTACGCCGCTGTGCAGAATGTTATGAGACATATTGTTCAAAATTATGCCAATCAGAAGATTGGGTTAACCATAAACATCTTTGTAAAATGTTGAAAAATAGAAAAGATTGAATTATTGAGCTACTTTTTTCTCTCTCTCTCCTGCATGCGTACTATAATCTTGCAAGCGTATTTAAACGGTTAAGAGTTTTGGTCTAGAAAAGAGTTTTGGGCTAGAAAATAGTTTTGGGTTAGAAAAGAGTTTTGAGTTAGAAAATAGTTTTGGGCTAGAAAATAGTTTTGGGCTAGGTTTTGGAGTCCACTTTAGTATATGTGTTTAGTATATGTAGTCCACTTGTCTACGCGCTTTTTTAAAAAAGATTTCAAATAATAAGAATTTTTTTTTTCATGTCAAGTAATAAATTAATTTAAGTAATTATATAATATTTTTTTTTTAATGCAGAATAAATTACTTCAGAAATTATTACTATCTTGTTATCAATGTAAGTCCTGTTATAAAATATAATAATAATTATTAATTGAAGTAATAAGGTTATTAGAAATTTTATAAAAAAAAACACCTAAAAATAAATTTTAAACTTATTTTTAAATTCAGCCAACGAGATGATTTACCTTATTTCTAATGGTAGATTGTTATAGACTCTTTCACCAGAGTAATACAAAAAACTTTTAGCTATATAGCAAGTCGGATTTTCGAAATTTTAGTGAAGTTGCTGTTATTTCTTGTTGCTTTTGAATGGTTGACAATTTCAAAATAGTTTGTAAAGTTTGAGCATGACAAACCGAGAACGGATTGTTTCGTTGATATACAATTTGCAGTGAGAATTTCCTAGAATAATAAATGCAAACAGCTAACACAAAGTAAACACAAAATCACCAATTTTGTGTTCACTTTGTGTTAGCTGTTTGCATTTATTATACGTGATGCACGTGCATGCAAAGTCCAGCTTATCTGTTTTTGATTTTCCTAGATTTGTTAGGCAAAGATTCCACTGTTAAAACGGGTATAACAGTCAACTGTTCTGCTGCATGTAGTCGTTCTGCTGCATGAGGTCGTTCTTCTGCATAAGGTCGTTCTGCTGCATGAAGTCGTTCTGCTGTGTTGTAGCTAGTTTTGTTGATGGTTTACGTCAAAAACCAAACTAATAGTCATCCTTCTGTACACAAGACGTGATTTAGACCTATAAAACACGTTTTAATACGTATTAACACGTCTTGTGCCCACAGCGCCTGACAACACGGGTTTTGAAGTGGGGAGGGGGTGGAAAACTGTCAATTCTGAAAAAAAGTCTTCTATATTTTCTTAAAATTTTCTTAAAAAAAAAAAGGCCCTATAGAAAAAAAGGAAGAAGGGAAGGACATGCCATCCTGGTCCCCGCTTCCCCTTCCGTGTTGTCGCTCCATTTATCAAACTGGTTTCCTCTATCAAACAGGTTTCCTTTATTATTACTATTATTATTAATAATATTTTATTAATCACCCTCTGTAAAATATATTTACAAGGTAAAAACATCAAACTAAGAAAAAGAGATAAAAAAGGTATAATTTAGGAATGTTTTGTTTAAGTGTCTTTTTAAAAATTGTTCGCTGTTCTTTTACATTCCAACATTGAACCGCGTGTACCAAAATATGAAGAGTAGCTTCAGGAATTTCATCCTCTAAGACTTTAAGTTTTACTTTTTTTTCAACCAGCATTAAGGTTTTCATATTCAGTTTATGATTATCACATAATTCTTTTATATCATCTAAAAAAGAAAATTTAGCTGAAGTAGTTAAGTTGGAAGGTAATGATTTCAAAGGTTACTTTATTGTTTAAAAGGGCGGATAAATAGATTTATTTTGTTTTGGTGTATATAATTTGACATCTCCTTAATTTTAAATAGAGAGTGTATATAGTTTTACTATACTTGCAGACGTTAAAAATTGATTTAACTGCGTTCCTTTCAAATGCGTCGAGTCTTTTCATTATTGAATCTTTATTTTCACAGAGCTCTAGACCATGGGTTAACGTTGGAACTGCTAATGATTTATATAATTGAATAATAGATCTTGGATGTGCAAACCGGATTCAAAATTGAATCAGAGTTTGCACTGTTACCCGGAAATTTGATACCCTACTATCAATATTCATTATATTTAGTGAAGCAAAAATTGATGTTTTTGTATCCCAAGTAAAGCCGAGATGATTAAGTTTCTCACGAAGTATAATTTGATGGTTGTCTAGAGATATTGTGCAGTTCATTATTTGTCTTTTTCCAGAGAGCAAAAGTTCCGTTTTGACAGGATTAAGTTTTATCCCGTTTAAATTGTTGTTTATGTTACACGTTGAAATAAGTTTTTTTAGGCCCGAGAGAGTAGAGCTGAGAAGAATGATGTTGTCAACATAAGCTACAACACAAGTCAAGTTTCCATATATAGTAGTACCAACAATTTCATCATTTTTTTATAGTTTCGAGTGGCTTCTCAGTGTACATGTTATATAGGTAGGGTGAGAGAATCGATCCTTGTCTCACTCCTTGCTAAAGGTCAAGTGAGACTGATTTGCAACCTAGGTATGAGACAGTTGCACTGCCGCTACGGTATAAAGAAGATATAGTGTTAACTTATCAAAATAAAGTTTATTAAAAAGAACATCCTAGTTGCAGCTGTCAAAAGTCTTTTCAGCATCTAGTGAGCATAAATAAACAGGCGAATTGTTGCGATTATAGTGCTTAATTGTTTCGCTTTCAACAAATTGAGCGTGAAGGGTTTAGCTCTTATTATTAAAACCAAATTGAAGTTGATGAGTTTTTTTTATCTCTGGGCATATGAGTAAGATAAGGTATTCTAAGAGTTTAGTAAATATTGGAATAATGCTGATACTGCGGTAATTGTTTGGATCGGTAAGTGATTTTTTATAGGATTTATCTAGAGGTATGATAGTTGATGTTGACATTGATGTAGGGGTCCATCCGTGATTAATTGAAAAGTGAAATAACTTTCTTAACCATTGTATTAGTGCTTCACATTGGGCATGTTTTAAATGTTCTGCAGAGATATTGTAAAGATCCTTGCACTTATTTTATTTTAGACATGACGTAGCTGTTTTAATATTTTCATCAGTAATTTAAATCTCATCAGTGCACTGAGAGAATAGCTGATGGAGTTACCAATCTTCGAATTCCACCTTGCAAAAATCCTGGTGAGATTTTATTTACTGATGAAAATATTGATGAAAAACGGTTAAACACTGCACAGTGGGCCACCATGATCATGGTGGCCCACTGTGCAGTGTTTAACCGTTTGTTGAACTTAATGTTGAACTTAATTACTCGTAAATTTTCTTTTTAATTGTCGCAAAGATGCAATATGTTTTAATTTATTTTGCGGATTGTTTTACTTATTTCAAATTTCAAATTACTTTTTCTAAACAATTCTTTAAAAAATTTTAAACAATTCTTAAAAAAAATTTTTTATAAATGAGGAATTCATTTTCAAAAGATATTCGAATAAATTGATTTTAAAAAACTGACAAAAAACTGGACTACCTATGTAGGTAACAGAAATTTTCTTTAATAGCAAGAGTTTGTTATTAGATCTTTAAATAGATGATATATATAATATATATAATGATATATATATATATATAAGATTTAGAAATGGAATAAACTTTATTTTTGCGATATTCTTTAAATAGTGTAGAAATTTAACTTTTAAATCTTTAAGTTAAAAATTTAGTAAAAAATAAAAATTAGGTCTTCAAATAAAACATTACCCCCTCTTCCTTGTTCTCCCTTGAGTCCGTCCGTTCCAAAATATTGTTCCAATTTGCATTCAACGTGAAAATAGATATGTTGTTAATTTAAAACCATCTTTTTTTATGACTTTATTTTTTAACGCAATAACCATTTATTCCAATAATACATATTACATCATGACGCAATTTATTACAACATGAAATTATTTTTTAAAAAGTGATTTATTTTTTAAGTAAAAATTTTGAGTATTTTAAAAAAGAGTTTTAAAATACTGATCCGATTTGTTAACAATAAATTAAAAACTATAAAATTTAACACAATTTTTTAGTTTTTAGTTAAAAATAGGAATAGCATTTTGAAAATTCTAAAAGACAACTTTTTAAAACTTCTTACTTGATAGCTTTAATGCTTTTAGAAATGCAAACAACATGCAAATGAATGGTTTTAAGGAAAGAGTAGAATCTAGTTGTTTGTGAAATAAAAGCCTCGAAACAGTATGTACCAAGGGAGTCTAAGTGCTAGTCACAACTCCTATTGTTGTAGATAAAATTTAGTATTGCAACAAGCTTTTAAATATTGTTTTACCGGCTACACATTCAATGGAAAAGTGTTTTGAAATAAATCAAACTATTTTGATTCGGCAAAAATGCGTATAGGTATTTAAGATCCCAGAATTTATGGTGAGTGTTTTTAGGAATGAGATTTGACATTCCTCCAATTTTTCAGTCACCAAACCGCCCATATATGAGTATTTTGTATTTGTGTATTTAGACTAAAGAGGAGAGAAGTATTCAGAGAGGTATCTAGAAAAAATATATCAGTAACAATCTTCTCTAATCTTGACGAAATTTAGTAAATAAAAACTCTTTATCACATCAAGATTTTATGATGGTAAAACAACCTCATATTAAAAAAAATCAGGGGTAGATGTGGGGGCGAGGGGTGTAAGTATTGATATAAACAACCTCTCATTAAAAAAAAAATTAAGGTAAAGAGAGGGTGTGAACATTGCTACAAATAACCTCGTATTAAAAAAGAAACAAGATAAAATAACCAAGAGAGATCTGGCATATTTTTCTTTGAGCAAAATTTGTTTTGAAAGTTTTACCAAAATTAATATCGAGATTTACTAAACTACTTCTTTGTATATACGTACGTGAGCTTGAAAAGGTTCTCTACCGCAACCTCTTAAGGTTTATTATTATACTCTCGGGTCCTAAATACAAGGGGGTGGGAATGAATAAAGTGTGGTAATTTTAGTACAGATCTATTGAATAGGGGGGTCTAGATCAAGGGTCTAGGTCTTAAATTGTTTATTTCTCACCATAGTATAAAACTTATACATATTAAATTCTATTGAATTATATTGAAACAGTTGTTAA